CGCACGCTACCATGCCTGGCTAATTTTTTGATTTATTGTAGAGATGAGGTCTCACCAAGTTGCCCAGGTGGGTCTTGAACCTGCGAGCTCTGGCAGTCCACTCACCTCAGCTTCCCAAGGCGCGGGATTACAGGCTGAGCCAATGAGCCCGGCTCCTCCATGTCTTTTCATCACTTGATAGCTCATTTCTTTTCAGTGCTGAATAATATTCTGTTGTCTGAATGTATCACAGTTTATTTATTCATTCACCTATGGAAGGATATCTTGGTTGCGTCCATGTTTAGGCTATTATTAAGAAAGCTGGCCGGGTGCAGTGGCTCACGCCTATAATCCCAGCACTTTGGGAGGCCGAGGTGAGAGGATTGCCTGAGCCCTCGGGTTTGAGATCAGCTCAGGCAACTTGGCAAGACCTCATCTCTACAGTTAAAAAAAAATTAGCCGGGCATGGTGGCGCGTGCCTGTAGTTCCAACTACTTGAAAGTTGAGGCAGAAGGATCACCGGAGCCCAGCAGGTCGAGGCTGCGGTGGCGAGAGCATGCCACTGCCCCCCAGCCTGGGTGACAGAGTGAGACTCCAACTCAAAAAAAAAAAAAGCTGCCATAAGTATCCATGTTTTTGTGTGGACATAGGTTTTCAATTCCTTTGGGTAAATACCAAGGGGCATGATTGCTGGATTTTATGGCAAGAATATGCTTAGTTCTGTAAGAAGCCCCCAGACCATCTTCCAAAGTGGCTCTACCATTTTGCATTCCCACCAGTGATAAAAGAGAACTCCCGTGACTCTACACCCTTGTTATGTGTTTTTAATCTTCTTAGCTCCACGAGTTTAAAAGCACTGCATCTCATTATACCACCAACTGCAGCAGCGCAAGTTCAGAAACACCACGAAGGGTGAATTCCCACCTCTGCCAGACTGTGCCCTGTCCCAAGTCCTAGTCGCAGGCTTCTACCTCACCTTCTCAATCTCTGCGTCTATGTTCTGCCATTCAGGGAGGGGTTCTCTCCTCTCCCTCTTCTCTTCAGCCAATGACACACAGAACATGTGAAAATGGAGCTTCCCCAGATTTCAGCAGCCAGATCTCTTGGATTTTACTTGACATACATTCATGAAAAAATTGAATTAAGAGGCTGGGCGCGGTGGCTCATGCCTATAATCCCAGCACTTTGAGAGGCCGAGGTGAGAGGATTACCTGAGCCCACAGGTTCAAGACCTGCCTGGGCATCTTGGTGAAACCTTATCTCTACAATAAATAAAAAGAAAACATTGAATTAAGAGTAAAAAAATAGAAATTTCATTTTTTAACATGAGCCCCTTCAAGGTCAAGACACTTTTGTAAGTGATGATACCAGCCACTTAATCCATCTCTAAAGAACTGAGAGTCCTGGGGATTTAACCATATCAATGCAGTCTTTTTTACATTAATAACTAAAGGAAAATTAGCCCTTTACAAAAATTTTTAAGATTGGGAAACAAAAGGAAGTCAGAAGGAGACAAATCAGGACCGTAAGTTGGATGACTAATGATTTCCCATCACAATTCTCACAAAATTGCCCTTGTTGGATGAGAGGATGAGCAGGATGGAGTTATTTGCCATCACTGCCATGACGGAGAATAACTCTCTGGTTAAATTTTCCAGGCATTTTTTCTGCTAAAGCTTTGATTTTCTTGGAACACTCTCATCATAAGCAGATGTTATCATTCTTTGGCCCTCCAGAAAGTCAACAAGCAAAATGTCTTGAGCATCCTACAAAACTCCTGCCATGACCTCTGGTCTTTGTTTTTGTTTTTTTGAGTCAGAGTTTCTGTTGCCCAGGCTGGAGTGCAGTGGCACACTCACAGCCACTGCAACCTCAACCTACTGGACTCAGGCAATCCTTCTGCCTCAGCCTTCCTAGCTGGAACCACAGGCACGTGCTACCATGCCTGGCTAATTTTTTTATTTATCGTAGAGATGAGGTGTCACCAAGTTGCCCATGATAGCCTCGAACACTTGGACTCAGTCAATCTTCTTGCCTCAGCCTCCCAAAGTGCTGGGATTACAGGCTTGAGCCACCATGCCCGACTGCTCTGTTTTGACTGAACCACTTCCACCTCTTGGTAGCCATTGCTTTGATTGTGCTTTGTCTTCAGGATTGTACTGGTAAAGCCATGTTTCATCTCCTGTTACAATTCTTTGAATAAATGCTTCAGAATCTCAATCCTTCTTGTCTTAAATTTCCATTGGAAACTCTGCTCTTGTCTGCAGTTGATCTGGTGCAATGGTTTTGGCACTCATTGACTGGCAAATTTGCTCAACTTTAATTTTTTAGTCAGAATTGTGTAAGCTGAACCAACTGAGATGTCTGTGGTGTTGGCTATTGTTTCTGCTGTTAATTGTCAGTTCTCTTCAGTTAAGGCATGAACAAGATTAATTTTTTTCCTTGCAAATGGATGTGGATTATCTGTCACTGTGGGTTTCTTCTTCAGCATCATCTTGTCTCTTTTTAAAATTAGTTATCCATTTGTAAATTGCTGATTTCTTTGGGGCATTGTCCCCATAAACTTTTTGTAAAGCATCAGTGAATTCACCATCCTTCCACCCAAGCTTCACCATAAGTTTGACATTTCCTGGATTACCTCTCAAACGATTTTCCCTGGATTCCTTGTTGAAGGTCTGGGGATCTGAGATACATCTTCACTATGTAGCAGAGCATGGGAACACAAGACATGCTCCAGTAAGTGTTAGAAAATGATATGACTACATCTAGAATAAATAGATACCTCTGGTGTGTGTGTATGTGTGCGTGTGTGTGTGTCTACAGTACAGCAGGTTGGATGTTATTTTCTCCATAGCTCTTGTCCTGAGTTTTGGCTGCCCTTGTGACCTCTGGTCTGATGTCGCCCTTTGTCTCCTGCCCCTGATCTAAAGGACATGCCCTGCTCCTTCTCTCATGCTCACAAAATCTCTTCTGCATCCTCATAATATACATTTACTTTTTAAAAAAGGAATGGTTCCTCGAAGCTAATGGTTGTCTAAATCTTTCTTTCCTAGTGACCATCACAATGTGAATAAATAAATATAGACTACAATTTCACTTTTTAAGTGTGTGACTGCCAGGTGCAGTGGTTCACAACTATAATCCCAGCGCTTTGGGAGACTGAGCAGGTGGATCACTGGAGCCCAGGAGTTTGAGACCAGGCTGGGCAACATAGTGAGAACTTGTCTCCCCCCAAAAAAAAAATTAGCCAAGTGTGGTGGCACACACCTGTAGTCCCAGCTACTCAGGTTGCTGAGGTGAAAGGATCCCCTCAGTTCAGAAGATTGAGGTTGTTGTGAGCTGTGAGCTCCATGATCATGCCACTGCACTCCAGCCTGGGTGAGACTTTGATAAACAAACACACAAACATAAATATGTGACTTCGTATTTGTATTTTAACACTGCCAACTCCATCATTTTGCCCCAACTCCTGGTCTAGGAATTTCCCCCCTAAAATCACAGGCCCTTGTTAGCAGGGGGACATTTTTTCTGTTTAGAATGGAGTTCAGGGTAAGAACCAAGCCCATTCTAGAACCGTGATTTCCAACCCAGGCCTCGTGTTAGAAAAATCCTGGGAAACAAATTTGTCAGTGCTCAGGCCTCAGCACAGGTCGATTCAGTGTCGATCGACGAGGGGCATGGGTTCTGGATTTCGTTTCTTAAAGCTTCCCAGGTGACTCTATGTGGAGCCAAGGCTGACACCACCAGTCTGGAGCTAGAATTTTCAGTTTCCTTTGGACACTTCTAGCTTTAGATCAGTGGGAGAGGAACCCTAGAGAGCTGTGTTGGGTCTAGAGGCCAGGACCGGTTTTGCTGAGATTCAGGGTGAACTACAGATTCCTAGGATTCTTGTCATTTACATTTGAGACAAACCAGGCTGTCCTCAGAACCTGGCAAGTCCAGGGGCCAGCCCAGCTCCCACAAGCAGAGTGACCGTCCACAGGGCTGCTGGGGCAGGCAGAGTGCTATCCTTCTTGAATCCCCCCCACCCCCACCCCGCATAGGATGAGCGAGATTCTACATGAATGTTGAGGTCCTGTCGAAAGTTCCAGATGGCAGCTGCGGGCGGGGCACACAAAGCCGGCCTCTGACAGCCTGACCCTCCGCCTGGGCTCTGCCCTCCCTTCTCATTCCTGTTCCCTGGGGACCACCCGTTCTCCACTTCTGTTTCTTCTGGCTTTTCCTCCTTGCCGTGTTTCTCTCCTGCTATCCTGCATTGTCTTGCTCTTGGCTTTTTCGGCTCAGCTGTGCCCTGGAACCACGCTGCGACCACCTCCTCTCACAGCTGCTTTTGTGCCGTGTGGGCCCCTTGCCTGGGCGCCATGGTAGGGGGAGAAATGGGACACAGAGAGGGACTTCTGGAAGAGACGGCTCTCACGCCTGGGAGCTTGGAGTCTGGATTTCATACCTGGATGTTTCTGCAGCCTGCTTCCTTCTGCCGCAGCTTCCCCAGTCCAGAGAGCCAGAGGCCTTGAAGGCGGGGCTGGGGGAATGGGGGAGTATATCACTCGTGTTGGTCTCGTGGAGGTTAGCGGGTGCTGTCCCCGGGGGTGAGACGTGCGGGCCGGTGGGGACTCGTGCAGGCTGACCCTCCACCATCTTTGCAGGACTGCGATGTGCCGGCCCTAGCTGCGGTCTGAGAGGATGTCTGGGGTGTCCGAGCCCCTGAGCCGAGTAAAGGTGGGCACGTTACGTCGGCCCGAAGGCCCCCCGGAGCCCATGGTGGTGGTGCCGGTGGACGTGGAGAAGGAAGACGTGCGTATCCTGAAGGTCTGCTTCTACAGCAACAGTTTCAACCCCGGGAAGAACTTCAAGCTGGTCAAATGCACCGTCCAGACGGAGATCCGGGTAAGTGTGGAGGCGTCTGCACTGTCCCGCGTCTGTCCCTCCCTCTCCTCCCTGGAGCTCTTCCGCCGCGTAGGGGGCTCTCCCGTGTCCAGTGGAGGTGAGGTGGCATCTGAGAGACGTGCTCAACTTGCCTGCCCAGCCTCCCTCCAGACGTCTGCATCCCACTGTGCCAGGAGCCCAGGAGACAGATGCTTGAACCCTGGATCGTTTGTTTGGTCTTTGATCCGATTTATTAAGCATTTGTGACATTTAAAGCTCTGCAAAGGGTTTTAAAGCTCCCACCCTCAAAGACTTGGCACTCTGATGGACTTGGAATTATCAATACATGAGCAGTTGTGTTAAAAATAGAACAAAACCGGCGTAAGACTCATGTGCTGAGCATTTGGAGGAAGGAGTTGGCGGGGCACTTGGAGGCTGATGGTGAATTAGACATGCCCTGGGCCTGGCAGAGGGATGCTAGGTCCCACCAGGCAGCACCTGACTGGCAAACTCCCACCCAGGGCCACGGAATCTGATGGCAGGTCCAGGCACCCACCTTCATCAGGGCACCCGGACACCAGGGAGCCAGTTCACTTAACCATATGTATACAAAGTTGTGACCAAATGCATAAATCCAACACGCTGACTGATGTCAGTCACTTACATTCATTTGACAGTTACTGTGTGGAACCCAGTCAATCTTTGTACACACATTATCTCATTAAATCTTCCCTGCATTCCCTAGGAGGGCGATACATTGAGGACGTACCTTTCCTCGGCCTGGAGTATCCCCTTCTAATGACGTAAGGGAAAGCCACGTTGGTTCTCAGAAGGCTGCTTGGTGGTCATTTGACCAAAGGAAGGAAGCACTAGCGAGGTCAGAGGAAGTAGGATGGGCTATGTCCATCTCAAGGCCAGCCCTCCCGTGTCCTAAAAGTCGGCGCTCCCAGACTCTGAGCATTTCCCTCGGTCCGCTCTGCAGTGCCCTGGCCATGTCCTTTCAGCTGTCTTCCATCTGCTGCTGTACACCCTGTGGGTCCACACACCAGAGCAGAGTGTAATTGGTGAGGTCACTGTCTTGGCCAGTTCCCACCACTGATTACAGTGTACTGATACCCTGTTTTCCATCACTGATTTGATTAGAGCCTTGTTTGCTTATCCTGCAGTTTTTGGCGTGCAGGCACAGTTGTGTCCCGAGAGTAAGCCCTGGCCACCTTGTTCCAGGAGGAGCTTTTCTTTTATATGTCTTTATCTACTTCTTGAGTCTTCCTCTGGGTGTATTGTTTTCGCAAAGAGCTGGTGCCATCGACTGTGAATTTTACTAGTTTCGTTTTCAGAAGTTAGCCCAATATCCAAGTTTTGGCTGGGGGACTTCACTGCCCTTTTGTGCTGAAAAGCAGAGAGCATCTGGGTAGTTCAGATTAGGACACGTTCCATGGGGTTAGCAGTGGAGAGGACCCGGAAGGGGAGGCAGGATTTAAAGCAGCAACACTGGGGACAGGAATGGCTTTCTGAGAGGAGGAACCAGCATGAACAAAGGCACGGAGGTTGCTAAACATTGAATAGTTCAGTCTGACTGAAGTATGAATTATACTTAGAAAAATATCTAAAATCAAGATCAGAAAGGAAAGTTCACCACAGCCTCAACCTCCTGGGCTCAGGTTATCCTTCTGACTCAGCATCTGAGTAGCTGGGCCCACAGGCATGCCTGGCTAATTTTTTAACTTTTTAAAATTTTTATTTTTGGCAGAAACGAGGTCTCACTATATTGCCCAGGTTGGTCCGGAACTCCTGGGTTCATGCAATCCACTGCCTCAGCCTCCCAAAGGGCTGGGATTATAGGCACGATCCACTGAACACAGCTTCATAAAGGAAAGTTGATAGCAGATAAAGAAGGGCCTAGAATATCAGGCTGAGAAATTTGGAAGTGGGCAGGCACTAGGGAACAACATGTGATTTTAAAGGAGTAGAGAGATTTCCCTGGAGTTATATAGCCTGCTTGGTGTCTCAAGGGGAGGATACAGCCGGTCTACAGAGAAGGCCTTGAGACCCAGAGAAGGCAGTAAGACCCGGGCCTACGAAGGATGGCTGTTCCTACTTGAGGCCTCATCAGGTGGGATGCGGGGACAGAGGAGAAAAATGGAAGAAAGAAATACCTGCTTTCTAAGAAGACACTTTAAAGCCACCCAGACTTCCAGCCAAATGCTGTTCCATCCTTATCTGTTGTGCGGCCTTGGACCTGCTGTTGATGTGATCTGGGCTTCAATCTCCTCCCTTGGGGATCATGCCGCCTGCAGTTTTGTTGTAGGGAACGGAGGTGGCAGATGGGAAACACTTAGCCCACAGTGGGGTCTCAATAACTGGAAGCTTTGATTGTATTTGTGTGGGTATTAGGTCATTAACCTGGTCAGGAATCTCTAAGGGTCTCTAGCTGCCCAGAGAATAAAGCTCAAGTTGTCTTCTTTTAGTGTTTATCCACGTATCTGTTTTATTTTCAGAGAGGATGATCATATTTGTGTTTTAGAAAACAACACATACTGTTCTGTAAGTGTGCCCTGGAGAAAGGAGTGTACGGTCAAAAAAAGTTTGGGGAATACTTGGTTAAACAAATCTGAACAGATTGTGCTGCTGCAAGACTTCTCAGAACCTTAAGTAGGCTGGTATGCCTGATGAATAGCTAAGAAAGGTCTATAGAGGTGATGTTCCTCAAGTAAACCATTTCTTCTTTTTTTTTTTTTTTTTGAGTTGGGGTCTCACTCTGTCACCCAGGCCGGAGGCAGGCTCCCAGCCACCACAGCCTCGACCTGTTGGGTTCAGGCGATCCTTCCACCTCAGCCTTCCAAGTAGCTGGAACTACAGGCATGCACCACCATGCCCGGCTACATTTCTGATTTTCCTAAAGAGTTTCTTCTTTTAGAAGGTGGATCACTAGTTCTCTGGACAAGCATCGAGGGGACTTTTCCCCCAAATCTCTGACAGCAGTGGAAAAAAGATTGGAGAGAGGAAAGATCGGTGGGTGGGAGATGGGTTAGAAAACCGTAGCCCTGTTGAGGCAGGAACTGATGAGGACCTGAACTTACAGAAGTGGCGTTGGGGACAGAGATAAGTCAGCAGAGTTGAGTACGTCTAAGGAGGCAGAGTGAACAGAATTTGATGGTCAACTAGATGAAGGGAGAGAAAGAAAGGAAGGAGACAAGGGTGACTCAAGCTCTTGCCTGGACAACTGAATGTGGGCAGGACCATTCACTGAGACCCAGAGAAAGGGAGGGCGTTCTGACATTTCAGCTTTACATGTGTTGTGTTTGAAGTGTTTATAAAACGCCCCCACGGAGGAATGTGGGTCTGGAGCTCAGGAGAAAGAAAGAACCTAGAGACAAAGATTGGGGAGTCATTATGCAATGGGTGCCATGCAAATGAGTAGGCTCACCCACAGAGAAGGAGTAGAGCAGGAAAAAGATCCAAGGAGGAAACCTGGTGAAATCACCTTTAAAGGGCCGGCAGAGAAAGAACAGCAAATAAAAGAAGAATAAGACTCGCTCAGAGAAAGAGGAAGGAACCAAGAGAACAGAATCTGAGGGACCAAAGGCAGGAGGAGCTTCACGAAAAGAGTGGACAGTGGTGGTCAGCGGTGCCGGATGCTCAGAAAGGTCAAGCCCGATAAGACTGGAAATAGGTTCATGGTTTTAGCCACAGGTGGCAAGAATAAGTTTTGCTGGACAGTTGCTACGTAGAGTTGGGGCCAGAAGTCGCTGTGCAAAGTTGACGGTGAGTATAGCCAATACCTCGGAGTGGTTTCGACCATGAAGGGAAGGACAGAGAAGGCAAGAGGAACAGTATTCCCTGCAGAGGGCACAGCCTTTGTGAAGATCTTGAGGTGGGAAGAAGGTACATGGCAGGTTCGAGGCTAAGAGTTCCCCAAGGTTGGCTATTTAAATCATGCTGACAATTTTGGGTGTGACCATCTCTTCTGGGAAGTCATCGATATGAGTGACATAAGATGATGCTTTTTTTTTGAGTTGGAGTCTCACTCTGTCACCCAGACTGGAGTGCAGTGGCTG